AAGCCTGTGTTGAATATTTGTTATGAAACAAAAGCCGCAAAGCCCTCGCCAACATGTTTTGCAAAATACCATGTTTCAGGTTGGTGCATTTAAAGAGGGATTCACCCAAAATGTTTCAGGAGGTAAGAGCTGAGAGAGGGCATTGGGTTCAATAGAAGAATTTCACTGGAAAGTTCACATTCCCACTGAAGTTCTCACCGGGTTGCTCATCACTCTGCCCCCCGGGCCAGCAGCCCCCTGCACCAACAAATTTCCCATTTGGCATGTGTGGCACAACACAATCGACCACAGTGGCCCGCCCCTCCGTAGCCACGGCCGAAGAGCCCCAGGAGGAGATGGAGGGTTTGTTACGAGGCACATGAAGTTTTCTGAATACCCAGCAGCGAAGCCCATTTGTGGGGCCACATCCTGACCCCTTGGTACTGAGCAGAGTTGCACAAGCAAGCGTGCAGGGACGGGGTGGCTGGCGGGAGGAAGCAGAAAGCGGTAGTTCGGCTGCCAGGAAGCCCGCTGTGCCGGGTTTTCATCACCTCGCCCTGCTGTTTACGCTACAAATTTAGGAACCGAATGCCAACAACAAACACCTGCTGGGGGTTTCACCCTCCCAGGGGAAATCTCAGCAGAGACACCAGGGCCATGTCCCCACCTCTCCGTGGCAGTGCCACCACCCCTGTGGCCACGGTGCCAGCCGAAAGCCTCCAGCCGGTATCACCCACCTGCACCGAGCTCACTTTCAGTAAAGAGACGACTAAATCAAGGCAGCGCTGCTTTTGATAACGTGAAACAGCCTTTGCATCTCACATTTTCTAGCCACAGTGTTAATAGTTGCTATTTCTCATATTCTTGTTTGTGATACCCTAAGTCGTGTTATTTTACACCAGTGGCTTTAATTAAAAAACAAACGTTATATGATAATCTTTTAAGCCTGTTTCCTTGGCCAGACCACGGAATAAGAACAATACCCAAAAAATCAAACCCCTATTCTAAGGGGACGAATTAAAATCAAGTTACTGAGCAGCACTTCCCTTGAGCAGACAATGAGGAGTTTTATCTTATCTGTAAGGCAAATGCATTTATCAGGAAGTAGCAGCAAACATAATAAGGCTTAAGACCAGCTTAACAGTAAGACCAAAACATTTCCCATTGTTCGGTTTCACAAAATAAATCGGCTCTCCAGGAGTCATCCCCCAGTCCCTGCCAAGGCAGAGCTATCTGCCTGGCTGTGCTCGGTGGAAGGAGCAACCGCATTTCCTACAAAAGGCAGAGCCACCGGTATGGCACCGTGTGCCTGAAATTCGTTGCATCTTAGAAAAGCACTCGACAATAGCACTTAATCCTTTTGTGCAGTTTTAACCCTCCCCAAAACGCTTCATCTACAAACAAGGCCAGATCCTGAGCTACTGCAGACTGGGACCTGTCCTCGGCAGAGGAGGTGGCCACGCAGCCAGGTGAGAACCGACCACAGCCCTTGTGATTGCAAAAACAGCCTCACAAATTGCTAAGTTCGATGGATAACTCGATGTTAGGGTCAGGGCTATACGGATCATTACGTTAAATGCACCCATTCGCTTCCCCCTTGGCACAACACATTTGACAACGTAGTCCACATTTAAGCTGGACATTAGAAATTCTAAGAGGTCAAAAGGCTTTCACTGAGCAGTAACGAGCTGTACGCCCCCAGCCTTACAGGGAAAGGGCAGCACACGAACACAAGCATTCCTTCTACTCAAAAAATAAAAAAAGGGTGACTAAAATGTTATTGTACCTCATAGTCGTTTGGGAAGGGATCTCTGAATTTGTTGCTGGGTGTTGGGATTGGTGGAAACAGTTTACTCCATACGTGGTTTCTGCAAAAAACAGTAGTGGCGGGATGTGAAAGAATCGCTTTTTCTGACGGATGACGTACCCAACAAGCAGCACGTGTTTCGCCCCACGAGAAGACGTATCTCCTCGCACCGCCAGCCCTCCTGCACCCCTCCCACTCAGCCATTGGCATCTGACAGCAGCAGGAGGTTCAAAAAGGGTCAAAGTAATGATAACGGTGCACCAGCGACAGCCCGAGGCCTGGGCAGGTGTGCCGTTCCTCGGAGGACACTTCTGGACCCTGGGGACACGGGGATGACACAGAGGAGGTGGGCTGAGGCTCTCTCCCCTCGGCCTCTCCCATCGCAGCTGCAGCAGAGAGCTGGGCGAGAAGGTCTGATCCGACGGGGCACTGCCGTGGCCTTTAACCGCCAGCAACAGGCCTGTCTTGGCGAGAAATTAATTGCTCTGATCTGTCTGTTCACGCTCATGTTCTTCCCAAGGGCTGCGTTGTCATGTACCTTGTTTGGACAGTCAAGACAGGCTGCCTCTTGCTCAGACTTTGGTTTCTGGACATAATCTGCCTGCGTCTCGTGGTAGGAGAGCAACCGCAAATAATTGTGTGCCGAGGGAGCAAGGAGATGGGAAGGAACGGGACAGAGATGGCTGACAGTAAACGGTTCTGCTTAGCGGTGTAATAACTCATCCTGCTAACGCCGTTTGAGATACGCCTTCCCTGCCTGAAGCTCTTTAGTCCGGTTCAAGCATACAGGCATATGTATTTTTGTGATAGCAAGTGCTGCACAGTGAATTTTTTCTTGTCTTTGATATATCCCAGAGTACAAACTTCACATTTCAATCGCCCAGACGCATTCACTGGCTCTACCCCTGGATAGCACGATGTCCAAATAGGGCCAGATTTTAATGGGAACTTGGCCTGAGTGAAGATTATAGTGTTTAGCCCAGAATTTAGTATCTGGTGCCCGTTCTGTGGGGCAAGGCTGACATCCACGAAGCAGAGACGTGGCCAAGGTGTGGAGCCTGTGCTGCCGGGACCAAGGGCAGATCTCCTCCTCTGCCCCGTTTATTTTGTGACAGTTCTCCTGGCTGACGTCTGGTTTGTTCGGTGCTTATGTTCTTACGATTATTCTTCTTCCAAAAGCTTTCTGAGTTCTGTCAAGTTTTCTTTTATCCTATTATTCCTTCTCACCAGGGAGGAGAGGAGGAATAATATTTTCTGACTATCAGTTTGGAGCTAAACCCTCCTGGCTGAGCTGCTGCTGCTGCTGCCTTGAAGGAGACATTGATGCTTAACTCATTGTTAGGCGAAGGGAAGGGCCATACCACTGCCCACACAACAGACCTGACCGAGCAAGCTACGGGATGTCTCCCCCTTGCTGCACGTGGTCGAGGGTTTGTGATGGAAGTGGGAATATGGGGAGGAAAAGCAGGGTGTACGTGAGTTCGGAGACATTTGTTGAAATGCTGAACACAATCCAACCATGGCTGGCTGCAGAGGACAAGTCGGGCTGTGCGGCCACCACCAACAGAGTGGGACAGTAAGGTGGCTGCTGGGGTAACTCAGGACTGGGTCCAGTTGAGAGCCAATATTAACACTCCAGTGCGTGGCATCATCTCTACTCATCCCAGCTTTCCTGCTAAGGGTTAGGTCTTTGTGACCATACCCGAGTCAGTTTTGCAAACACTATTGTCTTCACGGCTCTTGCACTCCCTTGGATCTCCCAAGCCTTTCAGGAGGAAGACCCTGGAGGCTACACAATTTCACCTGCATCTTACTTCAGCTCCGAGTGTGGTTTTGATTTATGCTGTTGCTGTGCAATGTAACCAACAAGATTTGGGTTTGTTTGGAATTGGCGCGTTTCTAGTTGTGCTGTTTGTCAATGAAAGATTTTGATGGAGCCATATCAAAATTATTTATTGAGTCGGCAAAAAAGCGTAAGTAAGTTACTCGTCGCTTCTGGAATAGAAACACTTAAGGAGGGGTGCACAAAGGCCCAACAGAAATGGGGCAGAAGCACACGTGTTTGTGGGGGCTGCGTGCCCCTCAGATGCAAGAGCCTTTGCAGTGAGGCGTTGGTGGGGGCGGTGAGAGTGATGCCCTCAGAACGGTCCTGTTCTTTTTTGGAGGACACTGAAAAGTTGGAGTTATGTGATTAAATCCCTTGTCACAAAAGATGTTCCAGATATCTCTGCTTGTCTCTACACAGGTTAGAGCACGGCCCTTTCCACTAACGCTACTTGGACCTTCAGGCTTTGGAGACACCCCACGGGACCCTTGTGCCTTAACTCAGCATTTCAGGGTCTCCAGTTACTGTGCTGTGTCTGTCTTTCTGAAATTTGCCACTTTTCCCACAGGCTGTGACATGAAAAGGCTGCAGAAAAATAAAGATAAATAAGTAGGAGAACAAGTTCTTCTTTCCCTCTTCTAACCTCAACGGTGAGATTGATAAAATATTTGTTTTCACAGTACGTTAGAGTGACTTTTCTAGTGTCTTGCCTCCCCTGAGATTCCCCGCGACATTTTCCAAACAACTTCCCTGTAGCGGGTGGCTGGTGACTGCTGGTCGGGGACTGGAGTGGGGTGCCGAAGAGGGAGGGGGACCTGGCGGAGGTCAGGACAACCACCTTGATTTCAGGGTACGTCCTCATGTCAAGTAAGTGCCGAGCAGCTGGGAGCAAGTTGTTAACTACATCCTCCTGTGGGCTTACCTCCAGGAGAAAATGTTATTCCAGGGCACAGTCTAACGAAGCACAGAAGGTGCTCATTCATAAAGACAGAGGGCAAACTAGGGAAACATTCCACTGCGCTTTTTATCAGGACAGTGGCCCCATCACCTACTGCAAGTAAGTGAAGGGAAAAGACTATCTAAACAGTCCCAAAGGGCTACTTTGCCTTGTAGCATTTCTCCCAAACGGTGGTCTGTATCTCCGATGCCTGCAGTCACCGGGAAGTACACCGAAAAATTTATAGAACTCTCTGCTATAATGAAATTCCTTATAATGGCTTCAAATCGTATGAACTTTGAAACAGTTCTGTGCCTTGAATTGCATGGTACACTTCATGAATTTTCAAGAGCAGTAAAAACTCAGAGTACCACTGAAACTGTGGTACTCTAGGGAACCTGTTCTATTTTTCTTTTTTTAATATCTGCAGATACAACAAATGAGCAGGCTAAGCACTGCGTTTCATCTTCTTACACTTCCCAGCTCCTCCCAGGGCAGGCTGGGGGATTAGAGAAGTGGCAAGGACACTGAGCAAGAAGCAGCTTGGGAAGGGTGGAGTAAAGCTAGCAACTTCATGAAATTCAGTGCAGCAGGCAGATAAAATTTTAATCACTTTGGCAAAGATGGAATGTAGTGAGCCTTTGGGTGCTAGGGAATTATATACTAGCCAGGCAGAAAGAAACTCCAAGAAGCAACCAATGTAGCATCAAGCAGCTGAACCTGGAAAAGTTAGCTTAAATTTGCCTAATGTATTAAAGTTAATACATAAAATGCATTAGTACAGCATCTTCAAGCTGGTCCTTGAGTAGAAGTCTTCCCCTATACCTATTTCTCCCCCTGTATCTGTTTCAGGATCTCCGCAGGGGGTAACTGCATAATATCCAAATACTTGCAGAACTCCACAGGAAAACATGGAGCGGTATGACTGCTGCTAACTGGTGTTGGAGTTTTTCTGTCCCAAAGAGAGAGGAGGGAGCTGATGAAGATGATGCCAGAGCAGTGGAGGACCCACAGCTGTAAGGACAGGTCAATCCGTAAAAGAATGAGTGATGTGATGTGAGTAAGAGCGG